ACCCCACCAACAAGTTCAAGGGACACGCACATTGCCACCGTCGGTAGCAGGAACCACGTGCGATGGCGGATGCTCAGGAAAAGGTGGATCACTAAAGAAGAAATAAGCATCGATGCCGAGGAACGAGCCCCAAAACATACCGAGAATTGAGCCAAAGGCAAACAACATTGAATAAGCCACATATGTTCCTGGGATATAACCATATGGAACTTGGGATAGGTCAACCGCTAGATAGAAAGTATAGAGACTGAGCATCGTCGACTCAGAACATCGAAAAAAAAGGCCTTACTCGTACTTGACATGGAGGGCGCGAAATATGTGCTGGCGGAATCGAGGATGAAGCAAAACACACACGAGAACTTGAATGGGGCGAAGGACGTTTATGGAATGATGGTCCGTCTCAAAAACCATGGCTTTTAAGAGGACACTTCGATCCACATCCCTGGAAAAGAAACCGCAGTGCTTCATTCTGTCGACAAGTCAAGCTTTCTCAAACTGGCGTAAGGGATACGGTGCCCGGACGAACCCAATCATGATTTATCTCGTAAATCCTTGCTCGGGCCAAGGGCGTTTGGAGCGATGTGTCAAGGATTTGTCTTCGGACCCCGTTGATAGGGGAGTTGCACTGTTTCCCCGCGGGCCTCTATCGTTCCTTACGTCCTCCAGAATGAGTAGAGGGAGGGCTGTGTGGTCGAACTTTGAAGTGTCATCATGATCGCGTCATGAAAGAGGGGAGCGTGGAAGTGATTGCAGCCTCGCGGGCCGAAAGTCGGGAAAGACGCCAATAAAAGTGGTTGTGTACTCCTCTTCAAAACGCCGTTATCGCTGTACTTGGGAGGCTCGTCTTTACGGTCCCGTCGAAAGGGCGCCAGAGAAACTTGAATTTTAAAGTTGATGTTGATGCATTGATGGACCACGCACACGTGACGGTACTACTATGGCCCAAAATAGAAATCGGTTCTTATCCCCGCCCTTCGGCCTAAAAAAGCGCCACCAAATGACTCGGGCCCGCCAAGTTCCCCGCCCAGATGACTCATGCGCGTCGGTCCCGTATGGTTTATAAAGCCCCATGAGGTTCTCAGTGCCCTTTTTGCTCATCCATTGGCTGGTTTTCCCATCCCCTCGTTTTTTCCCCCGCCCCGCCTCCTTGAGGCTCACAAAACTCTTGCAGCTCCTGCCGCCACCTTGGTGTGTTTTTTAACTCCTTCTTGTGGTTATTAGCGCTTCAACAGCTTTTTGACAAGATTACGTGTCCGTTTGTGACTCCTTCCGGTCTTATTCCTTGTGGATACAAAAGCTTTTGCGCGCTGATTTTTTCTTCTGCCTTTCTTCCTCTCTTTATCCTCCCTTGACTGGCGGACGAGTTAGGCTCGGCGCCAGCCATCTCTCCGCATTCTCTGCTTCGTTTTGGTTGACGTTGCAGAGAATGTAGAGAATAGCCCGGTGATTTCACTTCATGTGTTGCCTCAAGCCAAGGTTAGGCGACCATGCTAGTCTTTGCTTTATTCTTTCTTTCCGTCATACGTTCAGCCTCCTCTCGCTACGAAGAATTCGACTTGGCGCCGTGGCAGTTTTCCTTGTTGGTCTGTCCCAGTTTTTTATGTCGAAGCATATGCGAGTATTGGTATGACTCTTTCCCAGTCAGTCTTAATTTTATCAAGCCCGTCTCCCTTCCCTTACTTCCCCTTTCTCTTCTTGCTCGTCGCGAATACTACTGTACCATTTCGATTGAAATGGTGCAGTAATATTCTCCTCCCTGTTTCGCTGGCGAAGAAATCATTTCCATTCACAATTTTCGCGTTCTGTCCAAGGACAACGAGGACGTGAAAATTTTGTTTTACCTTCCGAATTTTTGGTCCGACAAGAATGTCATGCGGATTCTTCGACGATTAATTTTCGAATTTCGGGTGACTTGACGTCTCTCATGACCCTTCCTTATCATCCGTTTCTGCTCCGGAAGCGACTCCGCCTCANATAAAATATTCTTGGTCTATGTGACATCTAGGATATGCTTTAGCTCGTTTCATTCCCCCCAACGGGGCTCCAAACGTTGAATAAATTTCGCAATGTCCAGTCGCCAACGACAACGTCTGTTCATTTCATTGAGAATGATCTCATACTCCAATCTCGAATCGGTACACTACTCCATCGTCTCACGAAGGCCGACCTAGGCAATCTACATCGCACGGTCACTCTAATTTTCCTTCATTCCCACCACGGCGAAGCTGCACCGTGCTTTGAAAACAGCCTCCTACATTCGCCATTCGATTTTGGGAAGCTTACGTCGCTTCTCGGCACGCTGACGATATTTTGGGTGCAACGGAGGAGAGTTTTATCGACAATTCACTCCAAGAGATTAATGTCTGCGCTTGACAAGCTGATAAGGTATTGCGTTTACTAGAAACGCAGTCCCTTCTACGGTTTGCAGTTGTAGGCCTGCGGATGTGTGTGCTGCGACGACGATACTTCGAGTTTGCCTGCGGCTACGTGTACGACTACGACTTCAATTGGGTCTCCTGCTTTGCCAATGACGTCTTCCTTTCATTGGTCAGACCTGAGATGCTTATCCGGAAACGACGCGCGTCCTCCCTCGCCTCGCTATCTATGATTATCAATCACTTCCGGAGGGGTTCCGTGGAAGCCTGTGGAAGCGCCCAGCGCTTACAGTGTTTTGCATGTGAGATTGGAATCCAAATCTCACGAAAACTTGTTTGTTCTTGTATTAGTTGTAATGTGTGATGTTGCCTTCCTCGGTGTCACAGCGTTGAACGTTGAACTTCCTCTGCCAGAGCGCTCTTAGTGAAGGTCACGGGTAGCCGATAAAGGATCTAGTCTTCCAACTAGATCCTTATTTCTTCAAGTGGAGGAGTCCCCTCCCTTGGAACTTGGTTGGAACCCGCATTTACGTCGATGATTGAATGTTGATTCTACTATATATGGTCAGGATATGCGTGGTATCAAGATATGCGGATTTCACTTTTCGTGTCCTTCCCTTACTCCTGCTCTTTGAAGAAAATTCACCTATGTTGAGCTAGTGTATTAAATACTGCTTGCAGAGTTCTGACAGGATTCATGGAGCGTACGAAGTGTGATAAGCCAGAGAGTGAGATTTTGGATAGGTGTATGAAGCTTTGGCTGCCAGGAACACCTGCTGTGCTAGGCTTACTCCTAATTTTTTTCCATAGATACTGTCTAATACCAACACCAAGTACACCTTCAAAATTTCAGGCAAGTAGGACCAGCGGAAGTCATCAGAATTGATTTTGAGGACGAAGTGCTTGTGCTTGGGAGACTGTTACATTGACCAAAATCCCTCAGTGACATGGTTGTGACATACCTTTGCATATCTTGTTTTTTTGCCTCCTCACGTTGGCAACGCTCTGAGGCTACAACACATCTTCCAAAAATTGTCAAAAATTTTGGGAGCATGTAACATTGTATCTAATAGACTCATGTAAGTTTTCCAGGCTGCACGATATGATGTTGAAGCTAGATCAACGAAAAAGTCAAGAATCCGCATATCCTGACCAGATATAGTAGTGTTGCCGTCGAATCGAAGTGACTTCGAGGTCACCTTGACTCCCCATCAGTCACAGACCACAAGAACAAACAAGTTTTCGTGAGATTTGAATTCTAATCTCACATGCAAAACACTGTACACGACTGCTCCACAGCATTGCATTCCGTTGTGAGCGGAGGGCGTGCGTGGATGGTCACTTGCCATGATTGAAATCACTATCCAGGTCCCATTAAATTCTCCGCAGAATCATGGGCGCGGGCACAGATGATTTCTGGATGGCTGTGGGCGTTTATCGTGCTGTGCGATTATTCATCAGCTGGGCGTCTCTTCCTCAGCGCCTTTTCCTTGCCTGCGTCATTTCATTTACAGGCTGTGCCGCAGGCAGTCAAGCAAACTCTCGTCCTCAGCGGAGTGTCCCCAGTCAAGATACGAAAGAAAATGTGAAATCGTGGCGGGACGTGTTTCCACGTCGACGTAACCCTCTGCCCTTGGGCGGAGGGGTTACCATATGCGTGTTGAGACACGCGTCGGGCTGTGCGCCTTTATCCAAATGCGGCAAGCGTCGGTTTCTGATATCTCAGACCGCGATCGTCGGGAGATGTTTGTCAGCTGCCCAGCATGATCTATCTTTGGCGCGGCAAAACGGATATGACTCGGTGTGGGAATGTGGGTTAGGAGAGGTTCAGAGGGGTTTTGTGAATGGAGGGCGTTTTCTGGCGTCTGTAGACACGTATTCAAAGGTTTATGGTATGGTTTGTACCGCTTAGAACTGGAAATTATGTGGGGAAAGGGGGAACAATGGGAAGGGACGTTGCTTAGTATGTACGGGTGCCTGGCTCGGAAAGTCGGAGATTGAAAAAAAAGCTGTGTAATCATGGTTATAAAGCAAACGAGTCAAGATCAATCATTTACTTGTTCTTTCTTCCTTACATCCACTAGGACTTGGACAGACTCACTAGAGCCGTTCCAAGCTTTCCTCTGGCCGCACAGCAGCCTACCGTGAGTCAAATTCCTACCGCCTTTGTCTTTGTTTTGGGCCTACGCGCGTTGTTGCGTGTTGCCGGCGATTATTCCTGGCACTTTTACCATCTGTGGTGTTTTTGATTACATATCATGTTCGCCTCGTCAGCGTTGAATGGCACGCTCCGCGTATCGCCTGCTGCATCGACTGGGATTTGTCAATCTCGTATGGTAGAGGAGGACGACGACGACGATTATTCCGTGGTGATGGTAGACGCCCACTGGAGTCTGCCGTCCTCTCCAAGTCTCTCTCCTCTCTCAGAGGCCCCATCCTCTCCCGGCGTTGAAGTTGTTGTTAAATCAGAACTGACAAGTTCGCCCGATTTCAGACCTAGCAGGCTACCGTTCAAGGTGCCTACAGCGCCCGACCCGAAAACCTTCGTCTCTACCAAAGCCGCAATTCCCCTCTCCAGCAACAACACTCACTCTCGTCATCGCCAAGATGTTCCAAATATTGTGAATGCCTCGGCCTTTACCTCGTCACCGGCATCTCGTACCATCGGTCACCTGCCCAACACACTTGAAACTAATGTTTCGAGCTCAAACTCTCCTCTTATCAACGATGTCCTAACTTATCCAACCCGACGTCCCCCGACGTCTAACAAGGTTTTCTCATCCTCTAAGGATCTAGCGGCCCACTATGGTATCCCACATATTCTGCCACCAGCGCCCCGAACTGTACCTCGTCGACTATATATTACACCATCATCATCACAACCAGAACCATCGGCCATCTCTGACTTCATGTCGATGTCCAAGAATTATCAAAACATGCTCGCCCAAAAATCGACCGATACCTCCATGACCGCCGAAAGCGAACCAGCTCAACCAGCGGGCGGCATGGCGCCGCCCAACAATCCTGAAATGGAAGACACGTTAAAGCTCATTGCGGACATTATGGGTAAATCCTCGCTCCCGCAGTCCGCTGTTTTTCACATGACTCATCACGCTCCCGCTTGCACAGCTTCGCCAGAGTTCAAGGACCTCCACAACTTTGAACAGCCTTGTTCCTCCTCTGTTGACATGGAAGAGCTCCTCACGTCCCCTCTGGACCTATTCTTCGACTTCTCTTCCTCTACGGAACAACAACAACAGCAACAACAACAACACTTTACTTCTCCTATCGCCGCCGTCCCTGCTCTCATACCTGACTCTTACACCGAGTCACCATACTTCGAGTCACCGTTCGAAGAGTTCTTGAAGACGCCTGTAGTAGCCGACAGCCGACACGAGATGCTGTCAGGTTACCTGGAGGACATGGACTACAGCAACGGCCCCCTTTTCAACGATGAGGCTACCGCCATCCTCAGGCAGGCTGAGCAAGACAAGCCTGCTGATGTCCCTCCACAGCTCGACTTGAACTCCTTGTACACCATGCCTCCTGAGACCCCACTCCTAGACACATTCAAGTCTCCTTCGCTCTACCCCTCTCCTCGACTCCCATCAACCCTCTCCGCCTTCCCCTCTCCTGCTCCGTCGTCCTCCTCTCTTCCATCTGGGTCCACCACTAGCCGACGGAGGACTACCGCAACGGGCACGCGCAAGGGCCTCACCCCCGAGTCCCTCGTCCCCATCGACGCGCCCACGCAACCGAGGAAGTACATCAGCCCCTCCGCCACCTCTCGCAAAGAGCTTCCCGCCATCTTTGCCCGCAAACGCTCGCGGTCAACAGCGTTTGAGGGGGACGACGAGCTGGCAGAGGAGGAACCGGGTCCCAATGCCACAGAGAAGGAGCAGATCGAGTGGAAGAGGCGGCAGAATACTCTTGCGGCGAGGAAGAGCCGGAAGAGGAAGCTGCTTCATCAGCAGGAGCTTGAGGACAGCGTTGAGAGGCTTACGCAGGAGAAGGAGGTGTGGCGGACACGAGCGTTGACGTTGAGGCAGCTTTTGCATAGTCATGGTGTGCCTTTCAACGAGTTCCAGGATTAAAAGCCGCGAGCGCCCTGATACCTTTTCCCCATCGCTACCTATCAAGATATCTATGAACAAAATTTCGTTCCCCATCCATCTTTCCCTACCTACCTCTTTCCTTTCTTTCCTTCTCCTTTCTCTTACTGAATCTCGAACAATGACGTCTGGCACAGTTTCAAGGTCGTCACTCCCCAATGTCTCTTTAGTCTAATTGACGGCGCTCCGTGTACTTGTACCCCCTCTTCTACCTTCCTGGGCGCCGTCCGTACCATTATCAAGTGCTTTGTATCGCTTCCGTATTCCATGCTACCGTCTACACCATATGCATAGCTAGTCTGTCGAAATGAATGAATGAATCAGAGAATGATATGAAAGATCCTTTTCTTGGTATTTTTGTGTGATTTAGGACTGAGTGTCGTCATTGATGGTTTTTGCTCACAACGTTGATCTTGCTCGTCCCCCATATTGAGTGGAGGCATTGGATGTTGCGACTTACCGGTACCACTCGAGTGAGGAGCTTTACGCCTATCCCACTTCTCACTCGGCCTCTGCGCACTATGCAACTCAATTGAATACAACCGGCTTTACAGATCCACCGTGGAAAGGCCTTTGCTTTTACATGAAAGTCTTGCTCCTCCTTGCGATGTCAAATGTAACGAGCCAAGACTGGTCCCCGACATTGAAATGCCATCTCAATCAGGTCTTTCCTTCTTCACAGACGCTATCTCCAACGTTCCACGGTTCACCGCGTACTTTGGAGTAAGTCCTGCCATCTCTGAGGGGCCTGACATTCAGCGCTGGACGTTGAGCCCTCTTGGTACTTATATGGGTGTATGTGGATTGGTTCATCTTTTTGATTCGTACTTCACGTACAATTACAGCTGCCATCTATCACAGACCATCAGGCTGTATGCGGTGTTCAACGTCAGCCTCAACCCTAGAAAGCCTTTGGTGTTGAAGGAAGGACTATCTTCGAATTTGGCGTGCAACGCCGCTCTTCCTGTCCACCTGATAGCAAAATCCACACACTCTCACTTCCCGGCGTTGCTTCCTTCAACGGATATGTCTTGCTTCCCTTTACTGCCGTTCCATATCCCTGTTTAGCCTCCCGATCTTATTCAGTGGGCATTGTTACCACAACATCCTATGCGGCGTCAAACACTCAGCCCACTGCCGCGCAGCGCGTACCAAGCTGGCTCGAAGTCTGGGCTCACGTTTGATCTAGGATCAGCCATTCGAGAGGCGTTGGCATCATCGTTCCAGAGCCACGTTCCGTCTCCATAAACGGACCAACTCGGTCACCAAGTCGCCGCAAGCTTTTTCCTCCTCGCCCATCCTCCACAGCCCACACAGGCGCTGTGGTATGGGAGTCGGAGTATTTGGAAACCATCAAGCATATCTTGTTGACTACTATTGGCGCTGCGACTGCTGGACCTGTTTGTGATACGACTACTGTGCGGAGGGTCAAGGTCCTGCTTTGAGGGAAGGTGCGACTACCCTCACCGACGTTTCATTTAATTTCTATTTACATGAAAATAAGGTCCGAGAGCGCCATTGCATTCTGTGTACTATAGCAAGGGCGGCTTGCTCCTCGACGATTAGGCGACCATGGGAAATGCTTCATATAGCGTTCAACCCCCAATGTAACGTTCAGGACATTGAACCTTTCCTGCCCCCCGGACGCTGTTTACCGACTCTGAGGCCATGATATATTTTAAATGCCCGACACGGAGCGACAAGACGTCTTTGTTCCTCTTTTGCTCGTGCCCTCCATCCTCCTGGCCTCTAACGTGAGGTCTTCCTCCAACACAAATTCTTTACTACCATCCCCCATCCCTCCCTTTCCCCCAGAAGAAGACCCAGACGTGGTTGGGAAGCCCGACGCGATCTATGCCTCTCAACAGGTGGAAGGGGGCGTTACCTGGCATTGGCGTGCGCGTTGTTGTGCTTGTGAGGGGCTTGACTGGTGTTGGGATGTGGGATTGGTAGGCGAGGAAGAGCAGGAGGTGGTGTTGACCTTGACCTCGCTGTTCAGATGGTCGATTTTTGGGCGTCGGTGGGAGATATTTTTTGGATTTGGATCTTGGATTATGATTTTTATACGATCGCTTTTTGACTGATGGGGACGAGATTGATTAAATGAACGCGAGAGTTTTGGTTTCTATTCGTGTATATATCTGATATATAGTCACTCATACAATATTTGAGCAGGATTATACGTTTGAAAGTCGGCAATTGCAAATTGCGATGTCTGCCCCGATCAGTTCCTCATTTCTTGTGTTACATACTAACAGGTCTACAGTAGCGGTACATCGACCCCTTATCAACATAGGTCCTGACATATCCCATTCCAAAAGCATACACCCTCCGATGTTCACCAATCAGTCAAATTCAATATAATCTAGCAAAACGGTGGATATGTATCAAATACTCCGACAGAGGGAGGAGACCACTCACTCTGATGCACAACTGCCGGAGAAAATCAACAACTCACTAAAAACCCACAAGGCAAATTGGAGACTCACAGCCCTTTTCACCCTTGGAGTTAATCACCATGTATCCTAGACAAAACTCTGTTCCGACAAAGCGTCAACAATCCGGTGACAAAGCAGAAAAGGAAAAAAAAATACTGTTGGTAACGGAGCCCCACACGGAGACGATAACCCCATCCGTGTAAACGATCTCGTCTTTGTTTATCGATAGCCAGGTGGGTTTGCTTCGTTCGTAGCCTGCAGTGGGATACTGTAGGATGAGAATCGGATTATTTCAGGGACTTTTACTCACCGTAAGTATAAGTTAGCCGAGCACGTTTTGTGAATTTTGAATCTGGTCCACCTGAAAGAGCATGGTTTGTTGCCGCAATGTCTAGTGGATATTCACTGAGAACTTTACCTAGTGGAGGTTTAGCCTCCCAGTCCGCTGCTGTCACACTGGCAGTTGCATTGACAAGGGCTACGGGATCACCTTCATCGCTACCTGGATAAGTGTCACCTTGAAAGGATAAGTCATCGGTGTCGCTCATAGCAGTGTTGCTATTTATGTTTTGGAAGAGTTTCATGTCCTTGTAGAGTGCATGACCAGGCATGACGAGGCCTTCAACTTTTGCGATGCATGCTTTCAACGACCCAGTGGTGAGAGGGGGCGCGATCAAGAGGGTGTTGATGCGTCCTAACGAAACATCACTTTCGTCAAAGGACGTCTTTGCCTTTTTATCCCCTCCTTCTGATGAGTAAACACGATAGTATACTGCAAGTTTGATGAGTGCACTATCTGGGTAGGAGATGTCGACAAGACTCGCTGTAATGGATATCGGTATCATCAGAGCGTTCCGGCAGCTTGTCCGACTGCGAGACCTCCTTGATCCTCTTCTCCGACTCGACAACCAGCACGATCGGATCTTGTTCGGACAGGCCTGGTCCGGAAGGGCCGTACAAAGGGAGGCGGGCAGAGTCTTCTTTGGGTGCTGAGCTTGAGAGCGGTGTGAAAAGAAGCGCCTTGGCGGGCTCCGTAAGGCCCTCAAGTTTGCACAAGGACCACTTGATAGACGCCACGGTATGAGGAGGGGCAAAAGATTTCGACGGAATGCGACCAATGAAACGGTCGTTGCGGTAGAGGGCGTGATTTGATTCAAATGCACCAAGTTTGGTGTATAGACGGTAATATACTGCAGGAGTATCACGTCATTGAAGTCAGCAGTCGAGTTCGGGATAGGGCGCACCATAGCTAGTAGGACCCCTAGTTTTCGTTGACTTTCCTACATTTGCTGCTGAACTTGATACATCTGTACCCCCTTTGCCGTCTAAAGAGGGAATGCTGGACATAGTTGCCGTTTTTAACCACTGGAACATGCTGAAATATCAGCAAGATGGTCGATCGAAGGAGAGAGTTATCGGACACGCCTTCAGCGCTCAGCCCACCCATGATCCATCCACGAGGCATTGGCGCTTATGCATTATGCATCAACCGTACGACGATAAACAAGACTTTGGTTCAAAGTTCAAAAGTTAGTCATCAGACCCAGATGAACTTGTGCTCCGACGCCTCGCACCTCTACTTCTTTGAGAGCTTGAGAGGCCAGTGCATGCGCTGCATGGGGAAAGGCGGAGCTACTCGTTCAACTTGAGAACACACTACACGGTGCTTTGGCGGCGAGATGAACCTTATCGTGGGCATTTCAGACGAAGCCTGGGGTTTGCCCAAGGTTTGCCTGGGGTGAACTTGAAAACCCGAACGCTCAAAAGCGGCTTCCCAAATGGGTTCCCCTTCGCACAATACTTCAGGAAGTTCCATTTTCTTCAAAAACTTCGAGGGCTACTACTTACGGGCGGAGTTCGAGCGGATTGGGAGGACCTAAAGCTCTCAGGCCTCAGGAGTCAGGCTCCCATCGAAACCGTTGGCTGATACAACAGGCTCCTATTTAGCCTTCAGCCAAATCAGCGTCACGAAGTCTCCCCGTTCTCTCCCCAAAGTCCTTACCATCGTTGTCTAGAGCATTTTCGGCCTTGTTTGGATAGGGCTCCTCTATGTTGAATCGCCGAGAGAACCTCCCAGCGATTCTTGTAAAGTTAAGTTAGTTTGTCCAGACATGTTGAAGGTCAATCAAGTTTTCTCCCTTTGCTGGCAATGCAATAGCGCATCGGGGTGTCGTTTCTCCAACTGAGGGTCGATCACATACAAGGCACGATAGCCAGGTGTACAGAAAAGCGTTTACATTTGTAGCAACAACATCCTAAGTAGATTCGAATAAAAAGTGAGAGAAGGTGGTAAAACAAAGATAGGATGTACATCTCATAAGTAACGTCGGGGCTCGTGAAGGGTATCATCTGGACCTGTGACGAGCCCCTCTATGAAGCAGGAGCTGCAGGGGAACCCCGTCACCAATCCAGGTAACATCAGTATACAGCGTAGCAGTCGCAGACATGATACATCCATGGCAGTTGGAGATTTTTGCTGCATGCTGGGTATGCACACAGCGGTCTTAGGTAGTAGTTTGTGGATCCATCCATAGAAATCGATGTGTGTCGCATCATAAAAGTCGTAAGTAGTTTGAAGGCACAACTGGACAAAGGATGAACACGTCAACGAACAAGGGGCAAGAGAAAAGAGACAAGAACTTACTCCCTTTCCGCCCATCATCCATCTCCGCCTCCCACCATTTCCCAGACTTGTCAATGATATTGAAGATCTCGCCCCTCCCGAACGTAAGTTCGTTTGAATCTTTGGGGCTCGCGGTATCTGGGGACAACGTCAGTCATCATCCATCCACCCCACAACAAAAAAAAAACGAACAAGGAAACATAGCCTCCGCACGATAAACAGGTGTCGGCTCCTTCTCCCCCTTCGCACTCTTCCGTCGACTCACGTTCCCACCACCATCGCTCCCCGCAGCGCTTCTCCCCCCCACACCGCTCGTAGGCGCCTTACTCCCCCTGTCCCCAGGTGTATACGTGCTCCACCCCCCCTGCGACCTTCTCTTCTCCTCACCAGGATCAACCCGCGACCGGCTCTGGTTCTGTCCCAACTCGATATCTTCTCCCTCCAACCGCTGCTGCTGCTGTTCAACCGTACCCCCGTTTCCTGTCTGTCCAAAGCCTGAGAAGGAGGGTTCTTTGGTGACGGGGATAGGGTCCGATAGGGTGCCGTGTGGCATTGGCAGTGGTGTCCCCAGACGACTGTGACTATGGCCAGAGAGCTGCGAAGGGGGCGCGGTGAAGTAGAGGATCCAAAGGATGTTGATGATAGCTGTGATAAGCCACCCCGCCGCGAGCGCTTGATGCGTTGGTTTGTGCGTGGGAGGCGTGAAGAGGTTGGTGTTCACGCCGATGGAGGCGAGCACCGTTGACATGGCTGCTAAGATGGATATTTGGAATGCATAGAGGTGGGTTGAGTGGGTGGGTAGGGTGACGAGGAGTTCGAGGATTATGATTGTTTGGAGGACGAAGGCGAGCCAGAGGACGCCGACGAGGGTGCTGCTGTTGGGTGCTGTTTGCGGGAGTAAGAAAGGAAGTCCAATGGGAGTGGCGAGAGGGCTTACTTGTTGCTGTTATTATGGCTTGGGAGGTTAGCGAAGTGACCCAAGCTATCTTGGGGTATAGTTAGATGAAAGAAAAATATCGCGATCAAAGGGTGTGCTTACCACGCTTATGACAAAGGTGAACAGAAGGAAATAGTTGGGCGCTGGTGAGCGTGTAGGAGGTGGGTGGTGTTCTGGGTGTTCTTGGTGTTGTACCACTTGTTCCTGTTGGTGGAAACTGAGGTCGGTGGCTGCTGGGACGGGCGAAGACGGGCCATGGTGGGTATCGGACATGGTGGATGGCATACTGGCGCCTCTTCTGCTTCTGTCAACATGGCGGACGAAACGTTCTCGCGGTTCGCTCCCGTGAAAGGAACAGCCCCATCAGGGAATGCGTCCGAAAACATACCGACTTTCACACGTCGGAGGATTTGCATTATCAGATTGCTCAATGCTCATTAATAATTATATACTATCTCATATCCTATCTAAACCTCATCCATAGGTACTGTGAATGTTGATGTTGATGCGTCCTGGTGAGGCGGACTGCCAGTGGGATAGTCTGAAGAAACCGTTTTCCATCTAAAGGAAGCACCAAATTGCTCCCCCAGCAGTTTCCTAGTGGTAAACAGTGTTGATTCGAGACCACATGGGGCAAGTTCAATGTTGTTGGCGAAGGAGTGGTTGGTGCAGTCGGTTGTTATGGATGGGTCCGAGTCCGTCTCATGGAGTTCTGGGTCGGCCATTGGTTTTGAGGCTGATAGTTGATGCGCTGTCGTTGGTAGTAGCGATGTGTCCGTTTGGTATGCTGCTGGTATGGGTCAGTGTGTTGAAACCTGCGACTACGTTTCAACGCACCATCCGCCTTGTATGCCGCCGAAAGCCACCTGAACCAACTCGAGGCAAACACAGGCCCACCACAAACCTCTCCATGCGAAACGCTCCTTTCGTACTACGTTGAAGCCCATCCCTACCCAAAGTCTTTGCTCCTGGGAGATATAACAAGCACGGCGTATCGAGAATGGGCCAAATTCGTTGCTGGACTCGAATTCGAGGAGGTAAAGTACTTACCTATCAAGGCCATCACAGCTCCATCACGAAAAACTTGATATGCCTGGGGGTTCGAAGGTCGAACAAGACCCAAAATTAAATGTGGACGTTGAGATTCCGGTTGCTAGAACGCAGAGGCGGCGAGAGCGGGTGGTCCTACTAGGGTTATGACCTTGAAACTTGAAGATGGTCAGCATGGAACCGTTCCTTCCAAGTACTTTTCCGCAAAGATCAGGGGTATATCTGTATAGTAGATCGAAAGTCAGAAAGCAGGGTAGGGCTGGGGTAGGGCTGGGGTAGGGGGAACTCACCAAGACATTTGGACGTTTGGTTGAAGTTGAGGGAAGGTCAACCAACTGTCTCACGACATCGTTCATCACCTGGCTAAGACGTTCACGACGGAAGCACCCATCGTCTGGTGCTTCGCACCGTATCTATGATGACCGGGCATTGCTGATACATCTTTTCAACACTGAACACAATTCATGCAAGTGATGTCAACATTCTCATTTTGTTCGTTACAAGATTGACGTACCATTCTAGCATCCTTATTCCTCCCCGGAAACAGTACTGCTGCCTAAGCATTGGGTGATCCACCGACGATTTTCCATGGCCATGGGTTGTCGATGTCCTTGAGCTTTCGTCTGCCACACGTCTCCCAGCACGATCAAAGCACGATACCTTCTTGCTGCATCTTAATCGTTCTGCCAGCAGTGGCGCAAATGTCACCGATTCAAAGTACAGGACGCTATCGAATGCGTATACGTCGACATGCTGACGCTTGTGATGGATCGATGAGCGACGGTAAGGAATGTTCTGCCATTCCAAATCCGCTCATTCACTAAGAACTCTTTTTGGTATCACAAGCCCAGGCCCTACGGGCGCCCGTACCTCCTAGAAAATGTTCCCACCGTTACTCCAGGATCGACAGGTATGGATCATCCCCACTACTCGTCGCTCTCATCTGATGCTATTCGCAGCTACAGCGATGTACGGACATCTCGGGAACTGTGGACGGGATCCACTTCGCATTGTATGCGAATTTCACGTAGCGTCATCCGCAAACAATTTCCTGTCAATCGGCATTGCATTTTGACTCAAGATCTTGCACTTACATGTTGGACTCGGGTGCGTCGCCAATCGTCTCAGCCTTTTCTGGCCTTCTGCAACTCGATTTGGCTATCCCGTCCAGCGCTGCAGAAGGAGTTCGCAATGGGTGCCAACGGATCCTCAAGGTTCGCAGCTGCTTGCAGGTAATTATGTAAGGAACACCATCAACACCATCATATCCTGCTCATGCTACATCGAATCTATATCCTACAGTCAATCAAAAGACGTCGACACCTCGCGTTTCCGTTAGCTTACACGGCAATGTATGCTAACAAAGCTAACGTGGATAGAATTTTTGGCGTCCATGATTGGCGGGTTTTAATACAGTGCGTTCATTTTCAAGTTTTTAGTTTCTTCTCTGTGTTTCTGCTTATGCTGGTCATAGTGACTCCCTCCACAATTCCGATGGCCGGCCCAAGGCAAGAGGTCGGAAAGAAGGCGACCACTGGACAGCTTGGGCCTTCGACCTCAAGTCCAAGCGCTCCATCTTCTACCTTCACATGTACGAGGATGGACGAGTGGCTAGATTCGGTGCGGATAAACGCAAGGCATTTCGAGTGAAGAAGTATGACCTTATATGGAGTGGAGAGGTAGACACTCTCCTGCATCATGTTATTCGAAACTTACCATCATCTTAGGTGACAGCGAAATAGACATACATACTAAGTACCTTGAGACTGGCTGAGTCAATAAATAAGCTGTTAGTGTATAATACTGTAGTGGAGTATAGATCTGGAACTAGCAAAGTGGAAAGGTAAAGAACACAAAGGGATGTTGGAGATCATTCAGGTTTGAATTTCACTTATGGCCCCTCTGGGACCCAATTTTCGTTGACTGACAGAACAGCATAGCCATATTTGCTGCAAATCTATTTGATAATGAGACCACTAGGTGTTACATCCTTCCAACAGATGGCAACCAAAGTGGACTTGATCAATATGACCTCAATTTATTAATCTAATGTTTTCCCAAAGATTGAAGCCCTCCATGGAACTGTTTAGTATTTTAGGTCAGAAGAGTCCCTTTCCCTGCAGCCAGTCTCAAGCACAGAATATTTGTTTGGGACATCACCCTTGGGACCCCAGCCACCTTTCATGGGGTTGGTGTTCCATCTTTATTGCCCAAAATAATGCTGCTGATGTATGCCTATACATAGAACCTGGAAAGCCCATGTTTTTGCATTTATTTGATATACAGCCACATAATAATTGCAAACTATGTACACTGTGCCTCTGATGCCCAACTGTATGTACAGTTGAGTGCAAAAAGAATGAAGGTTGGTTCATTTTTCTGGTTCTTTCTAAGAATCTATTGTACCTCAAATGTATTTGTGTATTCTTTTACATTATGTAGTTGTGTTACACTTCCCTTGGTATGGACTAATTTCAGTGAAAGCTGGGGCCTTGAGAAGGTTTTTATTCTGGAGGCCATTTTTGGCATCTGAAAAAAAAAAATGTGCTAACTGGAGAGGTAGCCAGAACATACCTCTGGTCAACCTGAATGAGCCTATCAAAGAATTAGTTAAAAATACTAAGTGGTTATACTTGTAGAACCTCCAGAAAATGGTCATTTTGTGCTATTTTGGTCATTTTTGGCCCGTTTTAGACAAAACAAGCCATTTTCCAAAGCCTTTACAGACC